TCAGTATAGGCGAGGTTAGTGCGTGATATAGAGGGTCGACTCTGCATAGCATCTGGCCTCTTGTAAACCTGGTCAGGCTCTAGGCGAAGAAGATGAAGTTGAAGAAGAAGAGGAGGAAAGAATCGTAGAGCCTGATCCCCCTAAAAAGCCGCAACTCACAGGATATCGCATTGTGGGGACGATTTCACATCCAAACGCTCATGTTCCAGCCTTCGTTGATGGTGTTTTGAAAGTAATGAATTTGTTAACATTATTAGTTTATTTTCCTTAGCTCTTCATGCTTTGAAATCGAGAAATCATCTGTCACACTGTTTATTTTTAGACCTCAGTTCAAAGCCTTCACTAGACCATCAAATAGGCTTTTTCGAAAAATTGTTGCCGTTCGAACCATGTCTAAACGCAAACATTTATTTGCCACTATCACGATAACTGAGCGCCATTGCGAGACAATACCGCTGTAGGCGGAAAGGAACTGATAAATATTAAAATAACCTCATAAAATTTGTGAAAAGACATGCTCACAAAAATTTAATTACAAATCACATAGCTTTGGTAAGAAATGCCCCAAAGGACAGGGGAATTTCGGTGTTTGTTTTGCTTCGCAACTATCCTACGGTCTGAAATGCATGATTGGCATTTGGGAGGGACACTCACTCACCCACAGTTAGACCAGGTGAAATCATTTTTCCTTTAAAGTATGAAGATCGACGTGATTTCTACGAGCACCTATTTGAATGTGACTGCGTGATCTACGATGTTTCAACGGATGTGAGTCAGGCTGAAGAGGCACTGTGGGTAGCCAAATCCCTGGCCAATGATTATCAACGCATTGCAAAAAAGAAGGTTTTTATTCTAATTACGCACATGTTAAGCTGGGTCCGCTCAAAATCAGATGCCTCGGTAATTTGTTTAGATTATGCTCATTAAACGCTTTTCAGTTTTAATGCATAGGAAGCACTCTAAATTTAACCATTCTACTCTGACTCACTGTGTATCTGTAACTTAACTTTCAAAGCTCATTTATTTCGGATGCAAGGTACTCTAAAGGGATGTATTCTTAAGCCGAAACCCTTATAGGAGGGAACACATCCAATGTATGACGAGGAAAACCACGCAAAGCGAATTCCACACCCTCTCTATAAACGTCAATTTGCA